CTCCCCTCTCTTCCCGGTCGGGCCCTGACCACCAGTGTGATTTCTCATTCTACGGGCTTCTTCCTCCCGGACGTTTCGTATACATGGAATCACAGAAAATGTGATTTTTGTGTCGGGCGTCTGTCACTTAGCTGCATTATCTTGACGTTCACCCACAACGTAGCAGGCGCCAGTCCTTCATCTGTTTTAAAAATTTTTATTTTTAATTCTCAGCCAAGGATGTTTTCTCTGTTGCTTTTTCACAGAGAGTGGAAGGGAACGAGAGAGAGACAGAGAGAAACATCGACGTGAGAGAGACACATTGATGGGTGGCCGCCCGCACGAACCTCAGCTGGGGCTGAGGATCAAGCCTGCAACCCAGGTGCATGCCCTTGGCTGGAATCGAACCCGGGACCCTTCAGTCTATGGGCCTACGCTCTAATCACTGAGCCAGACCGGCCAGGGCCAATCCTTCGTTCTTTATGGTTTAAAAAAAATGCCAGTGTTGTGAAGATGCCACATTTCTTCTGTATGGATGTGAATCCAAACCAGCCATGTGGGATGGACCCTCGTGGCCTAGGGTGAGACCAGAAGGGCCGTCAAGGAGAGTCAGCGAGGACAGGGAGGGCGAGCGCCACAGTTGGGGGGCGGGGGCTCCTCAGCAGGAACATGGCCCAGGTTCTCCTGCACCCGAACCTCCTCCACCTCGTCTACTCCCCAGACATTCTCGGCGGACAGTTTCCCCAACGAGGGTCCGTATTTTCTTTCAGCACCTCCTGGGGTCATCAGATGTGCTCCAAGGCTCCCCCTCTCTGAATGGTGCTCTGCTCCCTCTGTGTTCACCTCCTGGACGCTTCGTGGGCCCCTCCAACGCTGTTTCGAGCCTCAAACAGCAGCACCCCGAGCACCGCCAGGACCAGGCCTGCCGCGCCCAAGCGGACGACGTTCCCCACGGTGTAGTCCTGGGGCCAGGGGGCTGGGAATTGTGCACAAAGAGGTCACAGAGGTCAGGACAGGCCAAAGTGACCCCAGAGTCCTGGATGTCCACCCAGGGCACCCCCTCCCCTTGAAAAGACATGGCCGCCTGCACCCCATAACCGAGAGCCTCCTACTCACCACTCCTGGGGCCCGAGCTGTTCTGTGATGGGCCCACGGCGTCGGCTGCTCCTGCGACACAGGGAGAAGTGGGGCTGGTGAGGAGTTGGGGCCACTCAAGCCCAGCGCCCCCATCACGCCCCCATTCCTCAGGGCGCAGCTGCTCCCCCCCAGCCCTCTGCTGGAGGAGCCCGTCTGTGTCCCCGGAGGCCCTGCGCCGCCGGGGCCTCTCCAGGTCACACTTTGCCTCTGAGCCACTTTGGGGCAGTTTGGCTCCGCCGCGGAATTCAGGGTTCGGCAGAAATAGGGTCTCTCGTTGCCGAAACGGAGCCTCGCCGTGTCGCTGCTCACTGCGGGACATGACCCGAGAAGCCACCCCTTCCGGACACGGGAGCTCCCACTGCGGCCGCCGGGGACCCAGGACCCCGGGCTCTCCCAGGGCTACGCACGTGGAGCCCTGGACCGATTCTTGAGCTATGAGCGGGGACAATTTTATGAATAAAACTGAAATGCGTCTGAAGCAAAAAATCCTTTTGAAGCATCTTTTATAAGAAACTTAATAGTAATAAAAAGTTATTTTTATAGATTTAATATAATACCAATTAAAATATTAACAAAATTAACTTTAAAGTCATAAATGTTTGTAAATTAAATGTACATATGAAACTATTCCTTGAAAGTTCTCAGCAAAGGAGCAGCAATAGTTACGTGCAGTAAATGCAGAGCAGACGTGACTTTCACAGTCTGGGCAGGGACCCCCTAGTTCCTCATGAGCCCTGCACCGCCCCCCGAGTCTCAGGTGAGCACTGAGCGCATGGAGGCCTCCAGGCGAGCACAGGGGCCTTGCAGGGTGCTGCCCACAAGTGCGGACGCTTCTCTCTACAGGAGAGCGCCCAGTGGGGCCCCCCGTCACCCACAGCAGGTCCCACCTTGGCCCTCGCAGCCCCCTGTCCTGCTCTGAGAGGGCTCGGGGACCCCCACCTGTGTGGGTGAGGGCTCCACCTAAGGGTCTCTGGAAATGAGCTGCCCAGGGAGTGTCCCTCTGTCCTCTCCTCCCCCGTCAGCCCAGCCATCGTCCCTGTATTACAGGCCAGGCCTGGGCACCCAACGCCGCAATCCGGGCCCCTGTCATCTTCAAGTCACACACGCTCCCATCTGGTTAGGGACCCGGGTCCCCATAACTACGCAGGGGTGTTGGCTTTCAGTGGAAACCCCACAGGTTCTGTGTGGAGCCAGCAGGAGTGGAGATGCTAAAGGGGTGTTTCCAAATCTTTGCTGTCTCCATAATATTGCGGCTTCCTCTTCTAAGATGAGCCCCCAGGCCCGGAGGATAAAAATCACATGTGCCTACTCCTGCTGGCCTCTGCTTTTCACTCTGTGCAAGGCCACAGTCACTGGGAGCAGCAGAATTGGCCAGAGAGGGCTGGACCGGGAGCAGGTCTAGGACAAGCCACTTGCCAGGGCCCCAGAAAGTGAGAAGTGAAAGTGCCCATGTAGGTCATGGCCAGGCAGCGCCCCCTTGTTCCGATGAGAAAGATTCTCAGAGTTCACCTCCAGGAGAGCTGAGTCCACAGAGCCTCAGCCCATTTCCCGGGTCCCACCTGTGGGATGTCCCCCGGGGAGCAGCGGTGCTCTGGTCTGAGATGCAGACACCAGGAGGCAGTGGGCTGGGCCTCAGTCTAGTCTCATTTCCTCTGGGCTGCACTCCCGAGTAACACCCCGCCCTCCCTTCCTGAGCCGGGTCTGAGACTGCAGGGACGGGGGTCCCAGGCGTGGGAGGTCCCTCCTGCTTCCACCCTTTCCCCAGAGGCCCTCCTCCGTGGATCCACCCACTACCCCCACTATTTCACCGTGTCTCACACTTTCCTGGGGACAGAGCCTAGAGATGACCTTGGAGATCAGAGAGGACAGGGCCAGGGCTGCTCCCCTGAGACCAGGACCAAATTCATAACGTCAGGGAGCACGGGGACCCTTGTCCCGGTGGATCCCACCCACACAGCATGAGCCAAGGTCAGGGAATGAGGGACGGGCACTGACTCCTCCCCACTTGAGCTCTGCTGCTCCAAACCAGCCTGGGCCCAGCATCTCCCTCTGCCATGACCACCCGCCTGTCACCTGCCTCACTTACCCTCTGCAGGCCTGGCTTCACACCAGGGGAGGCCCTGGAGCTCTGTGGCTCCCCTGAAATCTCTCCCTGACTCCCAGCCCCCCTGGGACACAAGCTTTTCCTTAAGTGTCTGGGGGGCATTAGATCCTCTGAGGGACTCAGAACGGCCCTGGGGTGCTCTGTGCCCCTGTGAGCAGAGAGGGCCCGGTGGCTCATCAGCTGTGGAGATGGACCCTGTGGGTGGGGTGGGGGTCCCAGAGGGTCCGTGGAAGGAGGACTGAAGGGGTGAGAGCCTGGGGCTGAGCCTGGAGTCCCCACCCCACTCACACTCCTCCTATTTCTGTGCTTGGCCCCCGGAGACCCTGCCACTGCCCACCCGCCACCTCCTGTACCCGGGGAAGGGGAGGGGTAGACAGGTGTAGGAGGGTCTCTAAGGGCAGATGTGCCCTGGTGACCATCCCTAGAGCCCCTCACTCCCCTTTCAGCCCATAATTCTTCTGGGGACAGGACCAGGAGCTGACAGCTCAGCAAGACAGGGTCAGGGCCCCTCACCTGAGACCAGGAGCTCCAGGGGCTCACTGGGCAGGGACAGCAGGTGGGGGTTGGTGCTGACTGAGCTGTAGCACCTGTAGGTGCCCCCGTGGGCCGAGGTCACAGGACTCATGGGGAACTCTGCCTGGGATGGCTGAGCTCCGTGCTTTGATCTAAGACGCAGGGGGGGATCGGCTGTCCCCTCCTTGGACAGAAGGAAAGTGTCCCTCGGGCTCTGTGACCGACACAGCAGGGTCACGTTGTCTCCTGAGGCCACCCTGGGGCCTGGCTGCACCGAGAGGGCGGGTCTGTCAGGCAGGTGCCCTGGAGAGAGGGAGGGAGGGTGAGGGCCGCCTGCCCCCCTTGCTCTGACCTGACAGTCCCCAGGCCTCTCTCTGAGGACCCTCCTCTCTGTCTGTCTCTGTCCCCTCTGAGTCACCGTCCCCTCCCATCCCCTGTCTCTGTCCCTCCCT